CTAGGACACAGAACTGAAGCACCTCCAGCTCACCAGCGTGTCTGACAACACGCCTTGTGCTGGGATTTAAAGACWATTGGTCCTTGTGTCTCTTTGCATTTCTGCTTGCAGAGTGTCATTTTCTTCAGAAAATGCTCTTTTGCAATTACTGTGAATTACACATGAAAAGCAAGCGACCACATATTGATTGGAGCCCAAGGAAAGCACCAGAGCCATTTAGAGTAGATTAACTTTTTCTGGAAAACGGTTTCACAGTTATTTAAAGAGATTAATCAGTTCATTTTAGGTCATTTACCATTGTTTCTATGGCCTAGCCTGGAATATCCTCCTCTCCGTTGTGGATGTGGCCTTCCTGGGAGGAGGAGTGGCAGGAGGAGGAAGGAGAGGTGCAAGCAGAGGGTGCTGCTCTCTGGGTCCCCGTGGCACAGCAGGAGCTGTMCCAGGGCAGGGACACAGGGGAACCCTCCTCAGCAAACCCAAATACCTGCCTGCTCCATGCCAGGTGCAGCCAAAGAAAGGAGAGCAGCATTCCTGGGATACATCCTGGGTCATYGCCTGTGCACCCTCACTCTCCTCCTACTCCCCACACCAACACGCTGCAGGCAGAGCAGGCTCCTGCCCTCGAGTATTTCAAAGCGTTTTTTTTTTTCTTCAGGAAGAAAGCATTGAAGTCAAATGGCTCCTGTGGTGGAATACTTCCCAAATGTCAACACAATCTGTGCTACATTACGGGTAAATGTGATAATCTTAACGCCTGGCTTCTTAATGTCAGTGGCACTGAAGTCTGATGGATTGACAGACAGCCAGAATGACACGCAGTCATAGCTGATAAGGGCTCTCTCCGGGGAAATCACAGCTTTTTAAAGATGTTGGCAGCTACTAGCAAGTACCTTTTTATTTAAAAGGATTACAAGCATTGATTGCACTTCCTGTTTTCTTTTTATCGCATTCCTGCACCAAGTGAAGCTTGTGCTGCAAGCTGAGCTTTTCAGACAATTATTCTGGAATAATGAAGGCGTGTCATGTTGCCTGTAATGAGTGTTTTCAATGCCTAATTTGCGTGCAGTGTGAAGGGATTTCAACAGCTGCCTGGCTCCTGGCTAAAGGTGAGTGACTCCTGACCGCTGCCGTGGGCTGGCTCTGCTGGGGTGGATGGCGACGCATGCTTCCCCCAGCAGAAAAGGGATTAAAACTTCCCCAATTACCACGGTTAAAACACAAGCTAAGGGGATGTGTTCTGCTTAGAAATGGCTGGTGGCTGTTCCACCAGCAAACAGCTGGGCCAATCCATGCTCACCTGAGCAGCTCCTCCGCAGCAGCRAAGGAGAGGGATGAAAAATGGATGTCTGTGGAGCTGCAGTGGAGCTGGACRGGGCAGTTAACAACCCCCGAGACACAAACACCTGCTGTCACTGACTACAGATGTCTAAGAATCACCTCCTGGCCTCCCAAGCAGCAGAGGTGGGTGGGTGGGTGATGCTGCATAGCCCAGTGGAGGCACATGCCAAGGCACTGAGCTCCTGCTTTTACCCTTCCTTGCTGCCCAATGTCACGATGCTAACTGCCAGATTTGACCCCTCACAACTGGGTTCCAGTGCTGGTGATGCCTTAGGASTTTTAGTTTCTATATTTTCATGCATCTGTATTCTTGTACWTCTCTAGTACAGCACTAAAAACTACCGTTCTYYCATCTTTAGACAAAACAATCCCTCTCTGAGYCTGAATCCAAGGAYACCTCACTGCCTCAGAGCCCCAAAATATGGAAACAACAGCGAGTTGGGAGGGAAAACAAGTYTGGGGTGGTTGACATCATCAYCTGAAAASATCATTGGAGAATTAAGACCCAMTATGTTAATAAGGCAGAAYTTARAAAAGGTGAAGATCTCGTGACTCAGTGTCTTGGGTGTAGCCTCAGGACRAGGCTTTTGTCTGCCCTAATGTACCAGKRGGCCTGTTAGGCCTGGATTAAAGTTGTCTATTCTCATTCTCTTAARTTTGTCTGGCCTCTGTTTCAGATTAGCCTGATTGATAAGGCATYRTGGTGAGGGCARGTGGRATGGGATGGGCCATGGGAAAGCCAGAGCTGTGCAATTGCTGTGTGGGGGCCCCTGGTTGTGCTTTGTTGGGTATCCCAACTGCTTCAGACTCTGCCCACCCATSCTGAATCCAGCTTTGCAAAGCCCAAGGTTCTTCTCTAAAAATTTGAAGATCAGTCATTAAATCCATGCTTGTCTAGAAAGGGATTGTGAGGCTGGAGAAAGCCAGGCTGGGGTGTGTGAGTGACAGATGATGTCCAGCCTGGCTGCTCGGCCTGGCATCAGCATCCCCAGAGGACACAGTTCTGCTGGCAGCAGGAACACCAGCTCTCCACCACACTGCCCTGGCTGCTCAGCAAGGTGAGGAGTGRTTTCAGCCCCACTGACTGCCCAGAAGCACAATTTGAGGGCCAAGKGAAATTCAGTGATTCTGTTTCTCTCCAACTCCTCTGGCTGTGGTGACAGAGCCATGACAGCTGTCTGGAAACACAGCTCCATTCCCACCAGACCTGCTGCTGCYGAGCAGAAAGCTGGGTCATCTCCAGACCCTGGAAACACYCCTGGGATGGGCTGGGAGAGAGCAGAGCCACAGCAAGCAGAGAGCAYAAACAGGAGTGCAGTGGCACAGAAACAGAGCCCTGACAGGACAGAGTTGCTGCCTGCACCAAGCACAGGGCAGAGATGTAAAAGGGAGATTTTGCTGAGCAGGGAGAGTCTGACACCAAGCCTGGAGGAAGCTCAAGGGCTCGGTAAATGAAAGGACGTAGGGATCTGGGATATTAGCTGTGGTGGAGGTGGTTAAAGGAGTCAGCTTTCTGGTGATAAAGCAGCTTCCTTGGAGGATATGGAGGGGAAGGGATCACCTTCCAGAGCAAGATATTGCCAGTGGGARCAGGAGGTAGGGGTTGACACAGCCTTGCTGTATTCAGTTACCAGAGATGGATTTTCCTCCTGGGGGTGAAGGTATCACTGCCCTTTCTTCACTTCCCCTTAATGATCCCAGCAGATCACATCCATCTTTTGCAAATACCTCTCTAGAGGAGGCCTGGACACCTTGCCTTCTGGAGCTTGCCATGGTTCAGTGCAGCACTGGAGGTGACTGATGCAGCCTCCCTGTGCTGGGGAARGGAAAGGGGCTGCAGCAGCCTGTGCTTGATGGGACAGAGCAGCACCAGCCCTGTAGGACCCGTTCAGAATATGGCAGTGGAAAGTGCCACCAGCCTCAGCCAGCACTGCCAGTGCACAGCCACAGGTCACATCCCATGTGGTGAGAACCATCATCTGCAGAGCAGGACTGGCTTCCCTCCTGTGGAAGGAGGAGGAGAGGGACCTGCCCTTGGCCTGATCTAACCGAAGCTGTTGTGAAACTGCTGGAGAGAGAAGCTGCTGAAGGAAAATTTCCTCAGAAGGGGCTGTGTTGAGGAGGCATGGAGCTATTCAAGCATCTTCACAGATGCTTGTGCAATCAGAGCTCTCAATAATCCTCCTCTTTTGTAGTGAAGGGYCTGGTTCTGACTGGCAATTTGTTGCTTAGAGCTCTCACCATTTCTTSACAATATACAAGAAGCAAWCCCTCCTGCACAGCGCAGGCTCACCACTCAATGCCAGGCACTTGTCACCTCCACTGSAAGGAGCAGACACCTCCTCCTCAACGTGGAGTTCCCAGAACACTCCAGGCCCTGGCCTCTAGARTCCCAAAGTGTTTGGGTGCCTAAAGTGGGACAGCAGGAGTTGGAGAGCTGCAGCTGGATGAGAGTTCTTGTTGCTAAGGAGCTGGGCTGGAAACGCAGGTGCAAACACACGGCAGTGCTCAGCTCCCTGCAAACAGCAATGGGCTGAGTGTCCAGATCTGCAGCACTGATGGACTCGCTGTGAGGGAGCAATTAATGGGACAATTAATGGGACAATTAATGGTGATGCTGGCAGAAAGGCCTCCTCAAGGCTGGCAGCTATAGAGGCACTCATTGTAACCATGAAAAGGAAATCCACGCACACACTGAGGTCTGGCAGCACACCTTGTGCCTCTGAAAAACCCTCCGGCCTCAAGACTTCCCCCTTCTGTCACAGCATCCCTCCAACTGCTTCATCAAAGGTCACCAGATGCTTCTTCCATAACATTTTGTGAATAATCAAGGGAGCAGGATGCAGTGGAGGCACGGGGATGGTGAAGGAGAAGGAAACACCCAAAGACCCGGAGGAACAATAATCCTGTTTTGGAGCCAGGACTGCAAGATGCTTTTTAAATGTCTTGCTTTATGGAGCAGTTTAAGTCTGCGTGTTCTATCTGCTGACCTACACTGAGGCCACCACTGAACTCGGCCATGTCCCCTCTCTCTGCCACTGTCACACTGATGGGTGCTGCAGCATTTGCAGCCACCTTGAGGGAGGTTCAGGGAGGTTTTTGGCCATGAACACCCTGATCCTTCCTCAGCCCCTGGCCATCAAAAAACACACCAGCAATTGATTTAGCTGCGGTCAGGCCAGAATGTCATTCATTTGCATCATTTCAGTATTAAAACTGAGTATGAGGAAGGGTTTTTAAGCTGCTGCTAGTAACTGAACGCTGCTGTAACACACAGCATCACCAAAATGAGAGCGGGTCAGGTATCAAAGCTGTTGACAACACTCAGCTGCACTGAAGCCATGAAGAATTATAGAATCATAGAATGGTTTGGGCTGCTCACAGCACAACCCAACTTTCTCCTGAAAGGATGGAGAAAACCAAGGACATTTTTTTTTTTCACCGTTTCCTTCAAATTCAGAGAGAAAMAAATGACCCTTCTCTTGAAGAAGCTTTTTTTGATGAGCGTTTCAATGAAAAATGGGAAGAAGCTGGAGATGCAGCATCCTGCCAGTGGGAACATGCAGGCAGCCCCCCRGCCCCTCTGAAGGCACCAATGGGACACATTGTCAGGGCAATGGGAGGCGAGGAAACAAGACAAAATAAACAAGTAAGACTCAGGCTAGACGACAAGGAAATAATTTATTTCCAGGTCCCAGAAAGACCTTGAAAAAATAACAAGGGTGAGGAAATCAACCTTCTAATTTCATTTGGGTAGAGAAACARAACCGAAGTGACTCCATCAGATGTGGTGGCAGCTGCCAGAGCAGGGGGCACGGGCAGCACAGCCCCCACTCCTCCCGTATTTACATGTGGGGTAGGAACTAAATGGCAAGCGTGCGTGCATGCGCGCCGGGAGCACGGGTGGGCAGGGTGGGGGAAAACCCGCTGGGAGGGGGCTAAACACKTACCCTGTCAGACCCCATCTCCTAGGACAGAGCCCTGCTATTGCACAACACTTGGCTAGAGGAAGGGCCAGTGCCGGAGGGGCTCGGGCACGGCTCTGCAGCCCAGAGGGAAAACACGAACACATTCCTGAGGAAAGAGAGGGCTTTCTCTGTTCACCTGCTCGCTCGAGGGTGTGGGGCATYGCCTGTTTGAGGTGGTGTGGTCAGAGCTGGCACTCGAGGGCTCTGCTGCCTCCCTGGCATCATCACAGTGAACCAGCAGCACGCTGGGCATGGTGCCAGCCACAGCACCCATCGTGTCCTCGGTGGGACCAGAGAGGCCCTGGCCAGTGAGGAGCAGGAGCTGGCCCCAAGCTGGGGCTCAGCACAGGGCCATGGTGGCAGTGGGCAGGAGCAGCCGAGGGCAGGCACCATGGCAAACACAGATCTTGTCCCTCTCTGCTGCTGGGTCTTGTGCTGCAGCCAAACAACCAACACCAGCAACCGGGAAGCAACACAGTTAAAAAAATGGGCACATGTGTACATTTACAGTTAAACCTTCTCCGAGGAGAGAAAACAGTGTTTGTGGTTAAACTAAAAGGACAAACCCAATGACAAGCCCAGCATGTGTCGGGCCTTGGGAGACCGTATCAGTTACCTATCAATGATATAATTGATTTTTTCCCAACATGAGCAGATAAGGAGCTGCAYCAGCCAGGACAGCCTGAGATGCTGCGTGAGGACATCACTCTACAGACTGTTCAGTTTTCCCTSTGGTAGTTGGTAGGCTGGCAAGGCACAGGGCAGCCAGTGCTTGCCCCCAGCAGCAGCTGCAGCCTGAGGAGCAATGGCACATCCCATTGGCATTTTCCTGACCTGCCTGCCAAGCCCAGGGATTACATCCAAAARCAGTCCTACTGGGAGCTCGTGCTGGTTTGCTGCAGGGTGCTGTGCTGGGGTGGGGACGCTGTGGGTACCCCAAGGTGTCACAGACCTGCTGCCCAGCCTGCAGCCAGCTGGGCCACAGAGCAGTGCCAGCAGGTTGTGGCCTCATGCACATCTCCTGGGAACGGCTGTTCTGTTTCTAATGGTGATGCTTTGCTGTCAGCTGGGTGTAAGCAGRAATTATTTCTCCCAGCCAGGGACTGGGGCTCTCCCACACCTTGCRGCATGGTCCTCCATGGGATGCAGCTCTCCCCCAGCCACTGTGGGAGCAATGACCCCTTGCCTGCTGCCCTGCACAGCTCACACACTTTGGTGACAGCCAGTGCCTGCTGACAGCCCTGCAAACCCCAGGAACTGTGTGAGGGACCGGCAGAACCCACCTGGGGGTGCTGCCCTGGCCCCTCTGATGGYGCTCCCCGGTCCTGCAGCTGCTCTGCGCCTCGGTGACAGTGGGATGTCCCCGTCTGCCACCGGGACTGTGGGCCACATCAGAAATCATCTGCTGTGCAGGGAGTGTTGGGGATTCCCTTTACATCTCCAGCACCTCGGTGACCACCAGACAGGGGTGAAGCCATCGCAGCACGGAGGTGAAGCCTGGTCTGAGGTGAGTGGCCGCTCTGTAATCCCAGCGTGGCATCCTCCCTCCCACACCACACCGGCAGCCGGGGGCTACTGAGAGGCCCAGGGGAGCAGAGAGAAGGAAGACTTCAAAAACAAGTAAACTTAAGAGGGGGAAATCGGAACAGAAGTTAAAAGCTTGTTTCCCTCTGCAAGGAAAGCTCTTAAAGAAATCAAAGCTCTTCAAATGCTCTGACTCAAGTGACAAAAACAATTTAGACAACAAAAGGCTCCCGGTTTGCTCTTCCTCTCCTGGATGGGGATCACCGAACAGATCTATTTAAATGATAATTTCTGGGGGAGAAACCCTCTCCAAACCCTCTTGAATTAGATTTTCTCTTTCTTAAGTTAACGYGTAGTGCTTTGACGGAGACTGGCTTTGAGGAGATGAGGACACCCCAGTGGCTCCTCTGCGTTCCCCACGAGGGTGTGGAGCCCACCCGAGCCCGGAGGCAGCTGCAGAGGAGCATCACCCGGTGCCAGCAGCTCAGCCCCTCTCCGGCAGCCGTGGAGTCCAGCCCAGGGGCGCTCSATTCCCGTGTGGCAGCTCCAGCCTGGATTCCCAGTGCAGGGGCACCGGGATCCTGCGGGTTTGGAGGGGCAGCTAGGAYTCCTCGCTGTCCTCCTCGCCCCTGCGCCCCGCGTACAGCGCTGCCAGCTGCCGGAAACGGGGCCCCCAGCCCCCCAGGTAGGAGAAGTCCTGCTCCGAGCCGCTGGACCAGGTGTTGATGGAGCTCAGGGAGGGCACTGGCGAGTCCGAGCCCTCGAAGGCATAGGTCTGGAACGAGTCATAGGGCGGCACAGACAGGTCCTCATCCGCCTGCTCCACCTTCCGGCAGATGTAGTCTCTGAACACAGAGAAGTCCAGGTCTGGGCTCTGCACCCACTGTGGGAGGGCGTGGAGCTCGGAGGTTGGGTTTCTGCCCGGGCCCCCCTCTCCKGGCGCCCCACCTCCATCACCACCTTTGATCTCACTGAAGTCGTAGAGGCTGCGCAGGGCTGACATGTCATAGGCCTCTGTGTCCTGCTCACCACCCCCTTCATCGTTGTATTTGATGACATTGTCCCTCATGTCCTCGTCATCCTCAGATGTCAGGTGGCTTTTGTGGTGTCGCTTCAGCGTGAGGATCAGAAGGACCAGCACTGGGAAAGGAAGAGACAATCAGGTACAGGATCTCGGGGAAGCTGTGCCCCGAGGATGGCCCCTGCTTGGTGTTGGGTGTGGAGGCACAGCACCCCGGGCACGGGGAGCCCTGCTGAGATCCCACACATTTCCCATCTGCCAGGCTCATCCAGCAGCAGCTGTGCCATGTGCTGGCTTGGAGAGAGGTTTGCCCAGGCTCCAGGGCAGACCAGGAGCTTCCTTTGCCATGAGACAGGAGGGAGCGATGGATAAACACACAGCTGGACAGACAAACGGATGGGTTCTGCAGAAGATGAGTAGGAAAAAGGGGTGAATGATTCAGAGCAGCMGCCAAATGTTGGGTGGGTGAGTGTGGAGCAGATGGCACAGAGCCTGAGCAGCGAGCCGCAGCTGTGTCCTGGATCATCATCCATTCAGCCCATCACCTTTAAAGCACCGATGTGCACTTTATTCGTTTGGGCAATTAGGCAGAAATTTGTTTGCACTGCGTTGGAAAATGAAACCAGTGTAAAGTGCACCCTGTGGGAAAGGGTTTTCTGCAACGGAGATAGGCAGTGGAGCCATGCCAAGGAAAGGTGACCTCACCAAACTATGCCCTGGCTCACGCAGGTGTCTGGACAGCCTCGCAGCTAGCCAGGAGCCAGCCCTGGGGCCAGAGAGGGCTTTCAGCAGCTGCAGCCCTCACCTGCCCTGTGCTGAACCTGAGGGCACTGCAACATCCCTCTCTCAGAGCCCCTTCCCACATGCACACAGCCCATGCTCCCCATGCCCAGCAAAGCCTGTGCCAGTGTGTCTGGCAGGCAGCAGCGTTCTTGGGGTAAAGCTCCTGACCTAGGCAGCACTGTGGTTTGACTGCAGCCCAGTTCTGTGTGCTGCCCAGACACTGACACATGCTCTAACACTGACCCTTTTGGCCAAGAGCACACCTGCACATCCCATACCTACACCCCTGCCCTCACGCTGGGAGCACACACCCCTATCTGCTGTGGGCACAGCATGGCAGCTGGCAAGCAGCTCTTGGCTCCTGCCCATCCAGGCAGGGAGCGAGCCAGCAGCTCTCCAGGCTCTGCTGGGCAGCATCACACCTGTCTGGCATGGGGAGCTCTGCTCTGGCTGCCTTGTGCAGTCCAGCACGCAGGAGCTGTGGCAAACATGGAACCTCCCCCACTGGTCCCACCAGCAGGGGCTGAGGTTCYTGCCCTGCATGCTGCAGCTACCGGGGAGCAGACAGATGCAGAGAAGCCACAGCATGGGCCTGCACACATCCGTGTGGAGCTGGCACAGGACAAGGAGGAGCTGGGGACGGGCAGGCACTCACCAACCAGGATGAGGACACAGACCAGCAGCGCGATGAGGGCGCCGGGGCTCAGCGTGGCCGACACCACGTAGGCTGTGCTGTTGCAGGACTGGATGGCCCCGGTGCTGTCACAGCCACAGACACGGATGGTCAGGGTCCCTGTGCTGCTCAGGGCTGGGGGGCCGCTGTCCACCACCAGGATGGGGAGCAGGAACACATCCTGCTCCTGGCGATTGAAGCCCACTCTCTGTGTGTGCACCGCCGCCGTGTTGTCTGCAGGGAACAAGCACAACAGCGGCAAAGTCACCCCCACGTCACAGCCTGCAGGACCTGCCATGAGCTTCTCCATGCTCTGGATGAACAGCAGCTATTTGTGCACCACCTCCAGCAGCCATCCCAAGAGCCTGGGGCCTCCCTCTCCKCCATCACATGGATCTGGCTCATGGCTCCCTGGAACTGCAGTGCCTCAGCAGCCTGAGTGCCTGAACATGGCCAGCTCCACTGCAGCACATTCCCCTTTGCCAGCCTGGCATCTCCTCTGCCACCACACCTGGGAGTGTGCCTGGCACAGGAGCAGCAGCATGGGAGTGTCTGAACCACACTGACAAACAATGCAGGTGGCACAAAGAGAGGGGAAAAGCTTCCAAAAGACCCACTGAGAGTGGCACAGAGTCAGAATCAGGATAAAAAGCAATTGTTGTGTACACAAGAACAGACAGGGTCTGCAGGTGGCACTGAGACTGCAAGACCAGACACTGCTTCCAAAGCCAAGAGCCATGAGTGTGAATGGTCCTGCCTCAGCTGGAGGGCCAGATACCCCTATGATGCTCTGTAATTCCTGAAGGAGTGGGCAGAGCTCCTTCCAAACCTCCCAGCCAAGGCAGGCATCCTCCTCCCCATCTGCTTACACCCTGCTGCTTCAGGGGCTCAGCTGGCACAGCACAACTCATTACGATCCCATTAACACAGCCACTTCACGGGACCCTCCAGGGCCCCGGTGCCAGCAATGAACCCAAGGAGCAGCTGCTGCCCACCAGGAGCAGGGAGGGAGGGCAGGGAAGGGACTGACATGGGATTGACTCCGTGCTCAGGGGTGCTGCAGGCTGCCAGCCAGCAGCAGCACGGGCAGGACAGGGCTGAACAGCAGGTGACAATTGCAGCCAGGTGTCACAAGCCGCTGCCGACTGTCTGCAATCTTTATCTAATAAACCATAGATTGGCCCACTCACAGCGAGGTGCTGCTGTCTACGGACTCTCCTCGTCGGGCCTGATTTATGCCAGACCATCCCCTTTCTCTATGAATCAGCTCTGCCATTGGAAAAGACACCTACTGTAATTCTGGCCCTTGGGCTGCTGCCACCACAGAAATTGCTGTATGGATCGAGTGCTGCATGAGAGCACACGGGGCACGGTGGAGACAGGAGGAGAGCCAGGATGCAGTGCAGGATGGGGAAGACCCACTGGTCAGCCAGGAGGCAGATCCCAGAGGCACTGCGTGGCAGCTGGGCACAGCAGGGCAGTCTCCTGTCCTGCAGGACATTTGCCACCGTGGCTGAGACTCCTGGAGCACATGTGGCAGCAGCACCATGGCAACTGTGCAGAGGTGTTGGGAGGAGCAGGGGAGCACTGGCCCCTGAGTGCAAGGAGGCTGAACTAAGTGTGGTGGCAGCAACACCTGAGAGCTCCCTATGGCCTACCAAGGGTGAGCTAGAAAAAAGAATTATTGTTATGCTAATCGTTTGCACAAAGGTAATGAGATCTCATTTGGTGCTGCTCCCCCCTCCTTGCTGCAGCGTAGCAGAGAGATATAAATAATGTTAATGGCACCATCTCAGCAAGAGACCAGGACTAACTCYGAGCTAGCCCAGCTAAAAGTAAGCCTCAGACACCTGAATCCAGTGGACAGGACAAAGAGGACAGACTAAAGTGCTGTAAGGGAACCAGGCTCCAACCACAGCCCAGGAGGGTCACCTTTGCTGGCACTGTCACACTACTCAGGTCACCTGAGGTTGGGGTCAGAGGATCCCTGAGCACACAGCCCTGCACCTCCACAGCAGCTCAGCCCACCCCTCACCCAGGGCTGGTGGAACCTGGTGCTTGGGAGCTCCCAGCTGCTCTTCAGTGCTGTGTAAACACAGGGGTAGCACCAAACCTCTCTGGAAATGCAGCAGGAGGCTGGCAACTCCCTTCTGTTTACAACCAACTCCAGCTCCTGTTAGGGACCTGCGWCGAGGCACGCTGTATTTTTAGAAACAGTCTCTAGAAATCAAGGGGAACTACATATGCAAGTGGCAGAGGGGCAGGCACCAACCTCAGCTCAGCCCAGACAGCTCAGGCAGCCTGGCACCACTGAAAAAGAAATATTGCCACCCACCAAGTCAAAATAAAGAAGCTGTTACCTAAATCTAACAGCAGCATGACAGACAGGTTTGCTCAGAGAAACCTCGCCTCAGGAAGGGGCTGAGGGTTTGCWCTGTGACCCAAAACTTGATGCAAGRGAGYAAAAAAAATCACAACTACAAACACTATTTTAAATACCATGAAACTATATTTTCTCTCCTAAACAGGGTGACAGGAGCCCTTCCTACAGAGGAGGGAGATGCACAGAAATTTCATATATACGGGAATGAAACTGCTCACCAAGGCTGGGAAGTCAGAGCCCAGCCTGGCAGGGATCACTGAAATGGCTCCACCACCTGCCCAGTACCCCCTGCTCCCCACCATGAACTCATCTCTGTTGGGTATTTTCACAAACTGTTACTCACAAACTTCTGTGCTCCCCTCTGAGATACTCCAAAGAAAGCAGTGCTGCTGCTGTAAGATTGTAGTCCCTTTGATCACAGATCTGGGAAAATTATGCCCAGATCTTGGAACATGTATCTGGAAAAAGCATCCAAAACAACCTCCTACAAAACAATTGTCATTTTTCTTGGTGCAGTTGTTTCTTTTCAAGTGGCTGACCCACAGCAGCTGCTTTGGGATGCATCTTGATGCAGATTTGTTTGCATTGGCACAGCCCTGGCAGCCCTGGCCCCACAGCCCTCGTGTCTCTTCCTCTGCAGCAGCTTCCTGCCAAATCCATTTCTGGGGTGATGAGCTGAGGAGCAGTGCTTCTCAGGAGCAGCACTGGAATGTGAGCAGACGTTAATCCACAGCTTTCCCGAACAGACGAGTCTGGGTCTCCACACTTGGTTTCCTGCCCAGTCCCCGCAAAGCTGCACCTTCTGCTGTGGTCACAGCGCTCCAAAGGCTGTGCTGAGTGTCCTCTGATGCCCCAACACAAACCTTTTACTATCACTGCTGTCTTGCTGCACAAACTGACATTTTGTCTGTAGGTTTCCTCTGCCACCCTCTCTCTGATCACGCAGTGACATTATCCTGTGTTATATCACATCCTCTTGTGTGGCAGGGCAGGAGATGGCCCCTCTGTCCACCGGAGGAGCAGGTCATGTCACAGGAGCAGGTCACAGGAGCCAGTGTGAGCCAAACACACAGGGACTCATCAATACTGCCCTGAGAGGAAAGTTTAGAAATGCAATATACTCTGGTGGTAGCTTAACGTCACTAGGAATAATAAAATAATTAAGTCTCTCAGACTCCCTCTCCAAAGAGGCTCTTGGCAGCTTCAAAGACAGAGCTAATAAATCCTTCTCATAACTCAATCTCAAAGAGCACTAGGAAAGCAGGAAGGATGTTGATGTCCCTTCCCKCTCCCACACTCACAGGGCCCTGTGAGCATCTGCCTTCCCCTTCTCCAGCAGCTGCTGTGCTGCTCCAGAGCAGGGAACACGGGCTCTGGGGAGGAGCACACGGCACCGGGCTGAGCCTGCAGGCACACTGCTGCCAGAGCTGCCCGGAGGGAGCAGACCTCCTCCAGCTCCAGGTGGTAYAGCTGGCAGGAGAAACATCTTGTTTTCCCTTTTTGCCTCTTCCTGAGAACTTCCTGAGTTCTCTGGGTACCAGGCCACAGCACCACTGCTGCTCTTTTGCTGTTTGCTTGGCCCCGAGGAGGTTTGATACTCTTTTTCACACGCACAGAGCACCGCTGCCCCAGTCAAACGAGCATCTGCACTGCTTGTGCTGAGAAGGGCAGCCCTGTGGGGCTGGGAGAGRCTTCCTCTATCCTCAGGCAATCCTCAAATCCTAACATTTTGCTTTTGATTGTTATGATTTTCAGATCTTCTATCACCCATTACATGCTCTTAATGAGACCTGCAGAGAGTTCAGACATCTGCTTGCCGAGCCCTTGAGCCCTGGAGTCAGTAGSTCCATGTGTCACTCCACATTACCTRGYGCTCCTTCCAGGTTGCCAGGCTTGGATGCTTTCTACCGTCCCTTCCAACACAATTAGCATTTCTTGGAGAACATGATTTCAGGTTTTAATTGCCTTTGATCCTGCTGTAATCAATTTTCTCAGGCCAGAAAGACCCASCAAAAGGCGAGTTAGGAAATAGAGCATGGTGAATACCTTTGGAATGGCACCAGTTGRACCTTAACGTGGTCAGCTTCTCTAATTCCATCCCTTCCTTTAGTCACTCCATTTGATGGGCATCTTCTTCCTGTATCATCACTGTTATTACCACAAGTGACATTTATTCTTCATCTGGTGAATCAGGAATTGTGTGAGCRCTCCCTCAGAGAGAGCAAAAGCATGGAAAGAGAGACACCAATAGGCAATGGTGCCGTTTCCAAATGCCCAGCTCTTGCAAACCACCTGTAACTGATCCCTGTCACCTGCAGGGACAATCCTTGGTCTTGTGTCTCCAACCTGGAGCACCAGAGCCAGGGCAGCTCTGTGTGCCACCCCCAGGACCCACACAGGGAGCCCCAACTCACAGCCCCCCAGGCTCCCCCAGACAGCCCCACTGTGCCAGATGCTCCTGCCCTGCCCAACTGCAACAGGAACACTCCCGAGTGGGTGCTGGTCCCCGCCCTGCTGAGAACAAGTCACCTCCCGAGGTGGCTTTCTGGTGCCACGAAGGAGCCGAGGGAAGTAGGTGCAAAGCAAAAGAGAGRATTTAAGCAAGAGCTCAGCGAATCCATCTGTGCTGACATCCATCAGTGTCACTCCTTGGCTGCAAAAGCAATATTTATAAATCACGTTTCAAAACTGGCTACAAATTTGTACAAAGAAACAGATGGGCTGGTGGTAGCAGTTTGTCACCACTGATATTTATATGGGGGAGTAGAGACAAGTGCAAGAGGGGTGAATGCAGGAGAGGGAAGCAATGGGGGAACGCAAGGGAGCATGCATCAAGGACACCCACGAGAGCAGGGGCAAAGGTGAGTGTGCCCAGGGCACTCAATGGACTGGAGAAAGGGGCAGAAATCAAAGGGAGGGAGATGGCACCGAAACACTCTGTTAGAAATGAGGGGTGCCTCCATCTGCACAGGCAGCCACCTCCGCTTGCTGTGGAAGACAGCACCGCTCAGCAATTGGGAGGGTCTCCAAACACTCTGGGAATAACCCTGCAGCACCAACATTTGTTTTCCCAAGAGCAGGAGGCGGGAGGTGATGCCAGCTTTTACTCATTTTATGCAGTGTTACACCACACGAAAAGCTCRAGGGATCGTTTAGCACAAAGAATTACCCCGTGCCACAAGAGCCTCATCCCACTCAAGAGAGCAGCAGCTCTGGAGGAGATGGTGACACACATGTCCTGCATCTACTGCAATGCCAGCTCTCGGGCCACTGCTGGTGGAGCCCCACACAGAGCCAGGGAGCCAAGCAGCCCCTGCTAAGCCCCRTGCACTCCAGCTACATGCCCTGAAAAAGAGCAAAACAGCCATGGTGGCTCTGGGATGGCAACCTGGCCATGGCAGACACCCTGGTCCAGAGCTGGGAGCCTCATGAGGGTCTGGGCAGGGATGGACACCCGGGTGTAGCTCAGTGTGTTCAAGCACATTTTSATAAGGTCCTTCAAAAGAAAGTGAAGGAAGTTAATCGCTGGGCGTGGGGCAAAATCTCGCCAAGGATTAAAGCCTGTTTACATGATAAGAAGCAAAGGTCTTGTGAACAGCTGCCCTTGAGCAGAGGGGGAGGGACTCAGGTCAGGGACTGCTGTGCTGCTCARGACACAAAGCAATATCCAGCCCTGCTACCACCACATCTGAAGCTTTTCCATTTTGACTATCCCTAATAAYGCTGAACCAAACTGAGCAAGCAGGATCTTACGTCAGCAGAAGGCTCCTTTGATAAGCTCAGAACAAACTAAACCAGGCTTTTAACAGATAAAGCTGCAAAAGTAGAGAAAGAAAGTGGTTTTAAAAGAAAACCTAACCAAAACCAAAGAAGAATTTCAATGTGGTCTGCGGGCCCCTGTGACAAGAATGTGTACATGTGGTTGGAGAAGGTCCCAGTACCTGCAGGGGACCCTGCTGTATCTACTGCTACAATCAGCACCTCAATTCACCCTAAACACCAGCCAAAAACAGAAGGCATCCCGATAACTACTTTTTTGGATTGTTATCATCCCCACAATTGCAGCCTGAACTGACAGCCTGCAAAACCCAACAGACAGGGYTCAGCCAGCAGAACCTGCATGGCAACCCATCACTCACAGCACCGAGTCACCCAGGATGAGCTGCTGAGCCCAAGGACACAGAGAACCCCAGAGCTGTCCAGAGCAACAGACAGGCACTGCCTGGCTGCACATCCCACAGGAGAGGATGAGGCTCAGGAAACACACAGGAACTGCACCCCAGAGCCACCACATCACAGAGAATCAGGCCCTGCAGGTTGTGTCCCAGAAAACCCACCGTGGCTGGGGCTGGCTGCAGCAYGGCCCCACTGCCTCCCTGGGCTCTGGAGCTGTTCCCATTTGTTGGGAGCACAGGGCTGGCCACCCCCACGGAAGCCCCAAGATGACCCGTGCTCCAGGATTTACCTTGGAGAGGGATAAATCATAATGCTCAAAACGGGAGCGTGTTCATCTATAAATCCACATCATCTCCTTCCCTGCAGGCAGGTTGGAGATTTCCCATCAAGAAAGGGACTGAGAGCCCTGAAAATACCAAAGGCTTAACCAGGCAGCATGAGAGGAGCTTTGTAGCTGCTTGCAGCACRGAATAAAGCTGGCGCAGCCTCCTTGAGGAAATCCAAGCTGTTAGCTGACCAGTCCCACCATTTCAGGTTGACAGGCAGCTCTGCAACGTGCCCAAAGCACTCAGAGCTGGCACAGAGAGACCGTAATCCATCCCCCTCTCCACGGCCAGAGGTCCTGCTCAGCCTGAGGGATGCTGGGCCAAGGGTGCAGCAGGACTTACCCTGGATATCCAACAAAGAGAAATGGTGGTTGTTGGCTTCAGGCGCCAGCGTGAAATAGAAGCGGTGGCCGCTCTGAGGCTCATCCCGGTCTACAACGCTGATTGTCTGGATCAGCTGTGGGGAGAAGGCAGAGATGAGCACCAGCACTGCCTCTGCAGCCTCTCCCAGGGTCCCAGGGGCACAGTCTGGCCAGCGGCATCGCCGGCTGTGGCCGCAGAGAGGGACAGTGTTCGACCCTGCAATGGGCTAGTGGGACCAGCAGAGTGACTCCCAGGGTGACAGAGGCTGCAGAGGAAGACTCTCAGGTGGAAGGGGACAGATGGGCAGGCTGGCACTGGGCCAGAGCCCTGCCAGCAGCCCCAGACCAGGGCTGGGGGACACCCRCTACCTGGCCTGGCTTGGCATCCTCACACACTGCGGCCTCGTAGGGGGTGGCGAGCTCAGGTGGATTGTCATTGACGTCCAGGATACGGATACGGAGAGAGGCCCTCGACACCTGCGAGTGATTATCTGAAATAGAAAGAGAAGCAGAGCTTCAGAACCAAGCGCCGACTGCTGCTATCAGGGAGCAAACCCCCTCATCTCCCTCTGTTCAGAGRCCATCATCAGCACCAAAAGTCACAYAGCTCTGCCCCTCTGCCAGCCTGTGGCACGGACTCTCTGCAGGACAGCAGCACCTGCAGAGCATTGCTCAGCCTCACCACACCCTGCAGAAGCCCAACCACTGGGCTGTGTGCCAAGGACTCCTGAAACACCACCCCATCTGCCTCTGGAGAACTGGAGCAGCCCAAAGCTAGACCCAGCCATCAGTGTCAGTCACCCGCTGGTGAGGAACTGTGCTGCAGCTGAACAGCACCAAGATGGGACCGAAAACTTGGATGAGGGATCACCCCCTACCTGGATCCTGACCCTTAAGCCCCTGGGGCTGGCAGCAACATCTGAGAGGTGAGTGAATGGAGCTGGGATCTGGAACAGCTGCGATCAGCTAAGGGCATGGGGTGGTGGTGAGATCTGTCCCTCCACCCCTGCTGTGCCCARGTGTCCCAGGATCAAATGTGACCCACTGAGGCCTGAGGCTCTTGCCCAGGGATCCAGGCCTCTCATGCTGACACTGRGTTTTTATTGCCATCAGCAGCTTAAAATTAAACCAGCACTGTCTGCCAGCTGGCAGGAAGGGGTCAACAGTAAGACTGAGGGGAGCCCTCTCACCCTGGCACTCACAGCCCAGCCCTACACAGGGAGGGGTCCCGGGGACACCCCCTCCCTTAGGGTCACTCTGCATGTGGGATGGGGCAGCATTTACACCTCCGCTCGCTGCAGCGTCACTGAGCTGCACACACACCGCCGAGGGACACTGTGCCACAGGATTATAAATCACTCTGGAGGGCCTGATGTTTGCTGAAGCACCTCATATATCTCCAGAAATGAGAACTCCCTCTTACTCCATCTCCTTTGTTTTACCCAGAGGCTGCACCTGTGACAGAACTAATGCTTCTCGCCACGCTCAGGCAGGAGTTGTGCTGCCTGTTTGTCTATAACATTAATACTGGCCCCCACAGATCAGGTGGGGGAGGACCCAGGGGAGAGGAGATTTAGCGCTGCTCCATAATTAGCCAGGAATCTAAGCCCCCTCCCCAGAGCTGCCTTCACCCGGTTCTCACGTTATCACTCCCTCTCACCCAGACCAGCTGCTCTGGTGATTAGATAGTTGTTTTTGGGGGAGGGAGGCAGAAGTCGTGACTAAAAGCCTGGAACTATGTGTTATTTTAAAAGGCGTGTTGGTGCGGTGAAATAAACTGCAATTGCTTGCAGGAAGAGAGGAAGGGGGAGGCAGCGGGGTGAGAAGGGAGCCCGGGGAGGCGGAGGGGTGCGCGCTTGATGCCCACAAATGAGCAGGAAGAAAAAGGGTTCAGTTCCTGCAAGAAGGAGGATGACAGCATTTCATCACCCCCTCCTCAGCCCACAGGAAGATGGATAACCATCCCTGCTGCTCAGCTCTGGAGCAACCTGGGACTGCTGAGAGAAGGATGAGGAAAGCAGGAAGAGAGGAGAGGAAGTAAAGCCTGAAGGCAGGAAGAAGTCAGGACCTCAGCTCTTCCCCTTCCTAACTGTACCCCAGAGGAGGGGTTCTCCCTCAGTGCCCCACAGTGTGGGAGGCAGCTGTGAGCAGGAACCAACCCCAGTGCTGCTGAACCCTGCCAGGACCTGTCMGGATTGTGCGTGCCAGGTCTGCACATCAGGTGATCCTGAGCAAAGCAGCTTCCCTTGGAGCCCCCCTCCCACAGCCTGGTGAGGAGGGATGTGAGCAGTGTGTTTAGAGCCGGGCAGAGGCTCAGGGCTGAGCTGTTCTATGCTGTGGGGAGCGCTCTGAGCCCCACAGACCAGCGGGGTGATGTACCCGCCTCAGCACCAAGCTCAGCACCTGCACCGACCCCTCCCGAGCCAGGCATTCCCTCACTCATCCCTGGGCACAGCTCTGASACTGTCACCTTTCTAAAGGCACCCKGTCATAGCAAAGCTCTCCTTTTGCCCCTTCCAAAACTGCTGAAGCCTGAGGCTCATTCTCACTCCTGGCTCAGTGACGGGGTCAAAATTTGACGTGTYCAGGAACATCAAGGTTAGAAATGCAACTGCTGCACTCTTGTCTACCTTTCCAGTGAGGCACACATCAGCTTCTTTGTATTTTGGCTGTACAACGTATATTTAAAGTTCCTCAAATGCTTTATCAAGTTTCCTCTTCCTTTGAGCCAGTACCTGGATTTACCAGTGGAAAAAATGAAAAACGGCTGGATGTATTTGAAAAAAGTTATCTTCAAAACATCTGAAATATGTTTTCTGTAACAGTGGCATAAACTGACATTATGATGGTCAGAAGTGTGATTAAGATTGTCGGAGCAGATCTGTGATGAAAGGCACCAAGCACACAACTAATGCAGGATTCACATCTGCGAGGTCAGAAACTCTGGCCTGTGCTTTTTCTACCTACGTGCACGCATCCAAAGCACCCCAGCACACGAGCACAGGCTCAGCAGAGAGGAGCCAGCGCCAGAAAGAGCAGCAGAGAGGGTGGGTGAGGCTGTGCCATGGGTGCTGCAAGCACCTGGCCCTGGTCAGGGCAAGGGCAGCATGTKCTGGCTGAGGGTGACTGGAAGGGAAAAAAAGCCATCTTCCATTGCAGCGTCTCTCCTCGGTATTCCAGCTCAGCTGACTGACATGCAAATTAGTTTAATTATTTCTTCTTCTAAAATAAATTATATTTTGCAGTGGCTGCAATATGTTGTGTCAGGCAAAATTACATTCAATATTTTTAAACTAATTGATGTCAGCCTTGAGAAAACCTGATTGACAGCAGCGAGAAAACTAGGCTGCTACCTAAACGCTTTCCTAAATTAAAATTAAACATGCCGTTTTTCTGCATTTCCTTCAGGAGTTGGAATGCTATTAATCTGAAAAGACTGAGGAAAGAGACATGGAAAACACACAGAACAAGAGGGAGATGCTGGAAGCACAGCCGTGCAGGATGGGAGCTCCAGGCTGGTGACTGGCAGCTGCCTTTGCCAGCATGGGAGGAATTATTTCAGAGCCACTGGAGCCGCCGTGCGTGGGGGACGGAGCTCTGCCCGGTGCTTCCACATTGCTGCATCCGTGGCTGCCACAACACAGCCACCAGCGTGGCTCAGGGCGTGCCAGCCAGGACACCCATGCCCCCACATGGCAGGATGGGCAGTGCTGGGATGGGACTGGCAGGGACAGGACTCTGGAGCAGGAGATGGTCACAGTGCTGCTGCACGGCCACACTTGGAACAAGAGTCAAAAATGCTTCGTGGGAATCTTCATCCACATCCCAGAGTATTTCCTTATTTAATTAATCATTAGTAAGTTAGTAATCTGAACAGGACAGTATTCTTCTGCTAAATATTCTTCTGCTAAATATTCATATGCAGAACACCAGCTTGCCCTCTCCCTGGGCTGCAGACAGCTGAGTGCTCACAGCACTGACACCGAGCAGCTCTGGGCTCAGCAACGCCGGAGCTCTGCAGCAGCAGCTCTGAGGAGGGGAGGGGACTGACAGTGCTTGGTCACCCCTGCTGTGGCAGGAAAGGAGGGGACCTGTGGTTTCTGCTGTGCCAGGGTCCAGCCCTTACTCCTCCAGACCCTCCTGCAATCTCACAGTGAAGCACTTTGCATTTTTACACCCAAACCTCTCCTGTGGAGCTCTAAATCCAGCCATTGCAAAGCACACGTGCTGTTTGCCCTCCTGCTACACACACACAGGTTTGCAGGGTGTCACACACCCAAAGGTGCTCAGCAGCATCTCTGGCTCTGAGCAGAGCCCAGGGGGCCATGGGCTGCCATGTGAAGCTGCAGCACCTGGCACAGCCCAGCTCAGGGACACCGCTGGGCACAGCAGCCAGCCTGCTCTTCTGTGTCAAGACAAAATTGGTACAATACTGAATTCAAAATTTTTACATTAGTAAGGAAGTCAGAAGAGGCAGGAGTGAAATTTATTCCTCACTATCTCAGCAAATTTGGAGAACAAAATGCAGAACAGAAGACTGGGATGTGCCACGCTGCTCGCCAGCCCTGATGCCACGGCTCTGGAGCACAGGGTGGGTTTGTAGCTGTTGGTGCAGCTCCTGCTTGCAAACCTGAGTGTTGATGCCAAGGACAGAGCAGGGGCATGCCAGGGGTACGACTCGTCTGACAGGTGGCTGTATCAGAGGCTGGAGCTGCAAACGTGGCTCCCAGCTGAGGGGAAGCAAAGTGGAAGCAGCAGTTAAGCCAAGTAACATATAAATGGCTCTCACCTCTCCTGAGTCCTGCCCAAACTCAGCAGCATGAGAGTCATTAAATTGCATCCAAACACAATGCTCTGATTAAAGCCAGTCTCCAGCAGGAAGATTTATCATCTCAATTACCAGCAGTGGACACAGCAGTCAAGGCCTCATCATTTTACATGAGCAAAGAGGAAAACAGGAAGAGAATCACTAATATTAGCCCAAGGAAGGTAAACAGCTTGCAAGGGAGATGAAGATTTATCTGTGGAAACGCTTGGCCTGGTCCCAGGCCAGATTAGCTGAACAGCCCCCATGCTTCTGCCGGCTGCCACGCCGCGAGGCCAAACACTCTGCTGGACCCCGGCCGGCCAAGGCAGCTCCTGCTGGGGGTGTGGGGGCAGAGCTGCCCCCTGCTCCTCCCAACAGCCCAGACAACTCATGGGCACAGCCAGGCACCACCCTGTGCAGCTTTTCTGGCTGCTGTCAGGGGCAAATGCACTCTGACATCTGCAGAGGGACACACCTTGGACATGTCTCTGCTGCAGCAGYGGGCACTGSACAGGGCTCTCCAGKGTGGGGTACAGCTCCTGTTTGGAGCTGCTCAAGCCTGTGGGAACAAGGGCTGGAGCAGGGCTGGCTGTCCTTCAGCTTGCAGCCATCAAACCCTGCCCAGGACAGCCCTGCCAGCATTCCAGGAGGGCTGCTCAAGGAGGCCACAGCAATGCATTATCTTGTTGCAACACATTCCAGGTCACTTGGCTGGTGCCATGGGAATCAAGCAGACCTGGCATCACGGGAATAGCATGGGCACCAAACGAGCTGGGGCACCAGGATGCCTGGTGGGCTTGTTCCATTCTTTCTGCCCAGTTTACATCTCGCTGAGGAAAGAGAATCTTTGACCATTTGCCTCTGATGGAGTTTGTGATGTCCAACCCTGGGGCATCCAGCTGCACCCCACATGCCCATGGGCAGCACCACCCCTGGGCCCGGGCACCTGTGTGCAGGGAACTGCACTSCTGGATGTGCTGATGCCAGCCTGGAGGCTCCCAGCCACCCCAAATTCCACGTTCCCACTGCCATGGCTGATCCCCTGTGCCAGGCACATCCTGACAGCTGCTGCACGGCCCCGCTCCGAAACCCTTCCATCACTCAGAAGGCTGTACCTTTACAACTGCCCTTTCCGCCAGAGGATTCAGACATAAATTGTACTTTAAATTCAATATCAGTCATTAATATTTCATGATTACAAAACGTTAAGGATAATGTCACTGGGAAGAATGTCTGGGCAGTTAAAACGGATGAGTCAGAGCTCACCATGGGAGAAGTCAGAGCACTGAAGAGTCTCCCTGGCTTTTGAAGCGATCCAGCCTGACAGGCTTCCCTGCCAGAGGGGAGCTGCAGCATTTACTGACTTGTTCTGAAATCCTAGCCACAGCGTGTAAATATTGTCCTTCTGATTCTTGTCACCTCACGTTTCCTCTGGATGCTGAGTTGTGCTGCAATGCTGCCATGCCCTCCTCCCTGCAGAGCCTCCCCATGGAGCCTCCAGCACRGGCCACAGCTCAGCAGTGGGCTGCCCTCCCTGTGATTTGGTCAGTGCAGGGTCACTGCCATCATCCAGCACAGAGTGAGACTGGGATGGAGCCAGAGATATCCCCTGAGGGCAGTGGTGGTCTGGCCAGGCCCACTGACCCCTCCTCTCCCAGGGCCATGAGGACTGTGCCCTTGCCTGGAYGAAGCAGGTGGCAGGATCTGACCTCTGGAACCCAAGCCAGGCCTTGATCTGTGCCTCTTAAACATGAACAGCAGCTTCAACACTCAAGAGCAAAGAAACTGTCCCAGAGCAAATCCGGAGAAAGGCTCCTGCCCACAAAAAGACAGGCCCGGCACATGTCAGAAGGGTAAGGAGGTGCTGCTCTCAGCCACAGCAGCTCCCTGGTACCACTGCAGAGCAGAGGCAGAGCACAGCAGGACCCAGGCTACCCTCATGACCTGCACATCCAAAATATGGAAGACTCTGAAGAATCTGGCAATACCTTTCTGTCTCCCAGCATGGTGCCTTGGAAGCTCTGCCCCCATCCACAGTCCCTTCCCACTGCTGCATTGCTGGGACCTCCCATCCATTCCTTCTGCACTGCCCCAAGTGCACGGGAGGTATCCAGAGCTACAAACCCAGTGCAGGGACAGCCCATGAACCCCAAACACTGTGAGCCCCACAGAGRTGAGTGCTGGCAGTGCCACAGGGCTCCAGCTGATGGGACACCCATGCACAGCTCATGAGTGATGTGAGCACAGCCCCCCGGGAGCCCCGGTGCTGCTCAGCAGGTGTGAGTGCAGGGAGCTGCGCAGGGATGACTGGCAGACATGGCGCAGAGATAACACAAATTTGATTAGTGTTCATCAAATATACTATTCGACCATGCTCCCTTATTAATGCTCGACTCAGGAAGAGTATTTTTAGGTTGTCTAGGGAGATGGCAGACTCGRTGCTGCTGCATTTGTTTTTCTTTTCACTTCAGTGTTGATTAACACTCGTGTCTTGGCCACCCCTGCAATGACAGCACCCCTATTCCCCCTCCTGCCCCACTCCATCTCTGCACAGACTCTGTTCCACACAGTATTCCTCCATCTCACCTGCTTCCATGGCCAGGACGGTGATGTTGTGCCACCCTGCTGTCTCCCGGTCCAGGACCTTTCCTGTCACAATAGCGCCTGTTTTGGCATCGATGTCAAAGATCCTCTCAGCATCCGTGCTGCGGTCGATGGCRTACCTGTGACCAGGCAAAAGGGGAAACTGTGAGCACTGTGAGCAGCTGGATGTGCCAAGCTCACCCTCACCATCACCCTTAGGAGTACTGGAACCCAACACCACAGGCCCTGTGTCCCTGCTCTCCTTGTCTTGTGCTGCAGCACGGTACAGGAAGGTTTCTACCAGGCTGCAAGCCCAGAGCCTTCAACTTAAATTAAAGTGTGGCTTTTGGTGCATAAAGTGGAACCATGCACAGACTTTGGACGAGGGGAAAAACCTGCTCTGATGGGAACCTTATGCTCTCAACAGACAGAGCAATACAGGAATCGTGGGCTGTAACTTCACTTGTGACTCTGGGAAGCTTCAGCCCTGTAAGTTCAGGAGAAGCACAAACCCAAACTGAAGGTGGGCACCCTCCTTCCTGCCACTGCATCCACTAAAATGAGAAACCCAGAGGGCAGCAGAGCAGGCTGTGAGCCAGATCTGCAGATGCCTCAACTGCAGCTACAGCTGGRCTAAATCTGTGCAACTGGTGCAGAACAGAGATGGGCACCAGCTAGCATCCGCCCATCAGAGCAAGCACATCTTGTTAGCAGCCCCAAGATTTACCCTATTTTGAGCCTCCCAGTCCACAAGGAATAGGCTAAAGAGTTCCTCCAGCTCTGTCCAGCTGCTCAGCACAGACCCACCATGGGTGGCTCTCACTCTGCTCCTTCAGCTGCACCAGGGCTGCCCCAAACCACCCCTCCTGAGGGTGGAACCCACGTACTCCCTGGGCCACCTCCAGAGAGCACGATTCCATCTCTCTCCAAGCCCACAGCTCACAGCTCACATGAGGAGTCAGACACCAGGTTTAGCCCCGAGCCTCCACCAGGACACCACAAATCCATGAATGTCCCAGTGGCATGTCCTGCATTTCCARCCATTACACACGGAACGAAGCAAGCCAACATTAAATCAGGGCACAATGAGATGTGAGCTCCTGGGGGAAAGGGCTGGAAGGGAAGTCTGATCCAGCTGAGGCTCTCAAGCACAGCCGTAGCACAAATAACACAAACCACCACTGCAATCAGAATTAGAAATCCAGAAGGCCTGCAAATCACAAACAATACAGCATAATGTTATTGTGTACAGCATCTTTCACACACACTGAATCCCAGAGTGCTTCACAGAATTAAATAATACAAGACAGCAAAGAGTACAGAGGATAAATTACCAAAAGGAGGGCTGTGAATAAATTAAAGCCTTCAGTCACATGTCCAACCACAGAAGGAAGATAAATGTAGGGACAAAGCAAACTGGAAAGCTGGCAAGGTAGGACTGAGAAGCCACTTTGGACAGGAGCAGAGCAAGACAGACTCCAGGCTGGAAGCAGCCTCAGGACTGGGGATGTGCTCTGAATGCTGCAGAGCAGTTTTTCAGCTGTGGGTCCATCATCCACATGGCTCAAGCCAAGGAACTTCAGCTCCCCTTCCTCATGCAAGGATGACCATAGATGGCCCTGTGCTGTTGTGCCCCATGCCMTGGAACAGGACCAGCTGCAGATGGGAGCGCTTCTGGCAGAGCYCCTGTCCATCCACACAGCTCCATCCCTGATGGAGGCACTCACAAAGCCATTTCTACACTGTTTAACATGTTATACAGCACCAGATTACATTCCCTAACTCTCTCTCTTTCAGACAGATGGGGAGGTGAGAGAGTAAATACAACAACATTTGCTTGTAGCCAAACAAGAACATTCAAAAGTCACTATCTAAACTGCATTTGCACTCAGCCACCATCTAGCACCTGTGCAGCCAACTTCCTCCTCTCCCCCTGCATCTGGAGGTGATGGACATCTCTCACACAAAGCCAGGTACAAGCTCATTCTATCTCCAAACCAACTACTAGGGACTGCCTGCATTTYCTGCCCCAACTCCCAGCTGGCAGCAAAGCTTTTACAGGCACACAGCCAACTCCAAAAGGGACAGTGACACTGTCTTGGCATGTACTGCAGCCTCTTATCCACTCTCTGCTCACTCACTGTAAAGAAAAAGGAGAGGTCTGGCCACTCTGAATTGTACACATCAGCCTGATGTTCTGCTGGAAAGAGGAACAGAAACTGGGATGTCAACTTCTAATACCTTTCCAATAGCACAACTGATGTATTTACATAACTGCTTCCATTGTTTTCCCACACCACCCGACCTCAAATACATCCAGCCTTCCACTCCACTTTTTCATACTGTTRAGTTCAAGATGGTACTTCACCCTCCCCGTGGCTTCCCTGCCTCTCGGATAAGCACATGCCTGTTTTGATCACACTTGTGTCATTGCTGCATAAACAGAGACATGTGCAAAAAATATCCACACAGAAAAAGCCAATGAGTGATGGGAGACACCCCCAAGCCTGGACACATCTGACAGGGCTGCCTGCCCGGCCAGAGGGCAGGAGGATGGCAGGCAGTGCTCAGTGTAATGCCACTGGGAAACTCTTCTTATGTTTCTCATTTCTTTGTTGCTGAGGTTGCCTTCTGTTCCTTCTGAATGGTCTGTTAAGGACACGCTGCCTGTACCCCAGGGCCAGGYCCAAACCAAACCACAACTCTGACCCCTTTATCACTGCTGCTACAGAGAACCCTCACCTCCTTGGCACTGCCCCAGGGAAGGAGACAGAGCTTGGCATGCTGCCTAGGCCATATCAGCAGGGCTGACCCTGCTGCCACTCACTGTGACTGCAGAGGCCAGTCCAGGTGGGTCTGCAGCTCTGCAGGTGCCTAAGACCATGGATGCTCTGGAGCACTAGGCTGGTGTGGGAGCTGGGGACTGGGGAGGAGGCACAGTGATGTCCATCCACCCCCCAAAGCCACAGCCATCCCTGCTCAGAGCTGCAGATCACACAACAGAGCTCACCTGCCAACAGCTCCCATCTCATCCCACACTGGAGCGAGCAGCGCTTTGCCGWGCTCACTCACATAATTTTGTGCAATACAACCTTCACCACCAGCCTCTCCCACTTCTACTCCAGCTTCAGATTCACCCATCCCACTGAAGTCAAACGGTGCTTCTCACCTGGGAAGAGGCAGCATTTAATCCCTCGTCCTGSAGGTACTCAGAGACAGGACCTGTGCTCCTGCAGCTGGCTGGTGCTCCGGATCTGGAACCGCAGTCCCCAGCTCTGATTGGGATGCGGACCTTGCACTCCATTTCCCTCTCTTCCTGCTGCCAGTTGGTTTGGATGTTACAAGTGACTGTTTAATTTCGACAGCTTTCTCAGAGCTCATCTTTCCCATGAATGCATTTCTCAAGCAGTTTGTTTCACTTCTTCCCCSAACGCAACAAGAAGCACATTTTATGCCATGTGTTTTGTTAATAGGGAGCTTTTCAAACACTGTGTGAAAAGCTTTTTGTTGTGTTTGTTTTTTCCTCCTCTCCCTTTTGTATTGAAGCAGGTTGTAGTTCTTGCTGTGCTGTTGGAGWCTATAAAATGCCCATGTCCAACACGTGTCTCCGGATTTGGTGAATGCCAAACAAGAATATCTCTGAGAACCTTAAATCCCAAGCAACATCTTCCCAGTGCTGATAAAGCCTGGAATGCACACAATCAGAGCACAGGCTCCCACTGCAGAGAGAGAAACAAAAGGCTCCCATACAAACAGCCTCACACACACAGACAGTCTATCACTGTATTACTTCATACAATGGCTCAGCTGAGAAAAACTGCACTGCGCCCAGAAAACACACAGTTAAAGCCAAAAAGCCAACTGGAAACTAATTTTTTTTTTTTTCTGAAAAGAAACAGTTCCAGCTTTTGATAGGCAAAAAAAAAAAAAAAATAAAAATACAAGGATCGAGTAAAATAAAAAGAACTGGACCTTTAGGAGCACATTTCCCACACACTTGGTACCACAGAGGTTTTGTGCCTCACCGAGGGTTCACATCTTCCTTTGGCCATGCTGAGCTCAGCAYGGCTCCCTGCTCAGGTATTGATGTTTCTGGGAGGGTGTTCTTCTCCGAGAGGTGATCTCTGGGTGCCTCCTCACACCCAAGGCAAGCACCTGCCAGGGGCTCTGCAGCCAATGTCAGCTTGAGTGAGGCAGCGAGGATGGTGCCTCAGGGACACCCCTCCAGTCCCCACGTCTTTGTGACAGGTCACTGCGACCCAGGCCAGCTTGTGGGAAGGGATTTGTTCCCAAACCAAGTCGCTGCATCCTGTGGGACATGTGGATCAGCGAGAGGGCAGGGGAACATCAGGCTGGAATGTGCCTCTGGCAGTTGCTTTGGGCAGCGCAGCAGGAGTTGCACAGCCTTGTTCGTGCTGGCCTGGGGCTGAAAACAGAGCCAAGGGCACCTCCCTTCCCTTTTGGCTAAAAATACCTCCCAAACCTCGTTACTGGCAGCCYGGTGTCAGCAGGACCTGGAAACCCTGACAGAGCTGATTTCTGCTCTTCTGTCTCTGGCWATCCTTGTTCTTTTCTGCCTCAAGGGGAGAGTGCATCTCGACATGACAGGACTTTGTGGCTCCCCCCATTTACGGGCAGAGCCAGCACACAGACCCAAGTCCAGGAGAGCAGCCACTGCAGAAGCACAGCCGTGCCTCTCCTCCCACCTCTGGCAGATGAGGAGCAGCAAGTTAAAGGGATCCACTGAACTGCAGCAACTTCAAAGGGTTCATACCAACTTCAAGGCGACAAGGATCAAATGCCGGTCATGCCGYCAGGACCAGGTGCTCTCTAATGTATCAGAGGTGAAGTACAAGTGCTGGCTTCTTGTGACTGTACTTCTGAGCAGCACACTTGAAACGGGAGGTGACTTACTGCCGTCTCCTGCTGACGGGTTAGTGTCACATCCTGGTGCTGCAGGGTGCTGGCATTAATGCCTGCGCACCGCTTTGAAGCTGTGAACAGCTGCCTACGCAGCAAAGTATTTTTATTAAATTACCTGGCTAGCCAGAGGACAAGGAAGCAGAAGAGATCCAACTGTACCTTCCTCCTGCATTGGTGCTGCATCAGCACGACCAACATCAACCTGCAGCTCTGTTTGGTACACATTAAAGTGGCCGTGAAGGCTCACCCCACTGCACTGCCACTGCTCGTGACAGCAGGGACTGCCAGCACAGAGGGACTGAAGGGTGACTGAGTGCCACAGGGGAGCATGGGGGACACAGGATGAGCTACCTGCCTGGGGATAGCTGGAGGCAGGACACGGATTTGAATGCATCAGGCCTGACAAGGGAAAACACGCGGCAATTCCCAAGCTGCAGCAGATGCAGGGAATTCTGTTGGCTGGGTCCTGTGTCTGAGCACGAGGCATTGCCTTGCCAGCACTGAGCTCCCTGTAGGAGAGACTCCCAAAGCAAAGTTTGGGCTCTCACCATCTTCCTCTTGCCCAGTACTTGAATCTGCTTCTCTCTGGGCCAAGTTTCCACTGCCTTCTGCACAGCRTTAAGAGCTTCCCTCCACTGCTTTCTTTTGGACTGTCTGCAAACAATGCAGCAAGCTCCACAGGGAAGCAGCACAAAGAATAAGAAAAAACGAGAGTAAGAACAGTTCAGTCCCCAAGGCCCCTTTTCTACAATTACAGATCAGAAAATAAAATCTATGTTCTGTAGCACTGCTAGAAACAGTCAAGTGAAAAAGTACGTGCACACATGTGCACAAACACAGATTGTGGACACACCACTCTCCTGAAGGGTGTGAGCTGACAGCCACATGCTCAAAGACAGGAAAGAAAGAAATCAGACATGYAGCTGGAGAGAGTCTGGAGAGTCACTGGACAAGGTGAACAGAGGTGTGTTGAGAACACATCCAACACTCAACACCCACCAGTGCAAGTGGTGAAACACTCACATACACAGTTCCTGGCACACCAAGGCCTGTTTCATTCACATTCCCCCCAAAGTCAACTCTGAGCATCAAGCTTTGTGACACAGTACTCTCTGCTTGCTGCCAGGCATCTGKAGATGGCAGCTTTCCATGTGCAAATTTGTTTCTGAGCTTTCTTCGCATCTCAGCCTTTTTTTCCATGAGGATCAGGAGATCCCCCTCACCTCACCATGAAGCAGTGGGCCCAGCACTGAGCTCAGTGCCCCAAACAAGCACCGAGGAGATGTCACTGAATGCAACCAAGTGCTGTAACTGAGCCCTCTGTGGCCTGTCTCCCTCCACCCCACATCCCCATCCCTGCCCTTCCCAGTCTGTTGCTGCAGGGCTGACTCCCTGCAGAATTCTCAGTCCAAAGCCTCTGCTGCTCCCTGCAAGTGAGCGGCTCCCCGCCGGCACCTGGCACCAGAACACACATTTCAAGGAAATTTTCCACACGTTGAGGATGTTTTCTGAACACCAGATTTCCAACCCAACTGCTCATGACTCAGGCCAGTTGGCAGAGCCAGAAGGCTGCTTTGTGCCTTAGGTAATAACAATTTAACAAGGTAACAATCTCTTTAGCCACAAATTAAATGGAAATGGGAAATGTCCTGTGCAGATAAGCTGCTGCCTGGATTATGTCCCCTGCCCAAATATAAACTCCTCTGATCTTTGATCCTATGCACACACGCACGCACACACACCCGGGCTGTGGCTCTGCACCTCCAAAGCCTCACCCCATTTATCAACCTTCACCACTGTCCTCCTGCCACTCTGGGTGTCTGGCCTGTGTCAGGTACCACTGCAGATAGCTTGCTGTCAGCAGCCAGGACACGCAAGCATCACCCAGGCACCTTCCCTGCCGTTCCCTTGCACTCACAGCCCCGTCAGTGATGTGTCTGTCACCCGTGAGACGGCCGCGCTCGCTTGTGCACAGGCTGCCACTCACCTGCCAGCTGCTGTCCCATGAGACGCTCACACACTTGGCCACACATGCAGCCCYTGCCACGTTTACCTGCACTCTCCCACCTCCTCTGTCCCAGCCACTGCCACAAGCCCCTCCAGGTCACACATGTCCCTTGAAGGTTACCCCATGCCCAGTGCTGGAAGGGGGATGAGCGAGGCTCGGACGGCTGCGTTACCGGACGGGATGGTTCGCTGTGTCTGGGTCCAGGGCAGTGACCACCCCCACGACAGATCCAACGTGAGCATCCTCCTGGACCTCCATCAGGTTGGAGGGGGGCCGGAACTCGGGGGGCTCRTCGACGTCCAGCACTGAGACCCTCACGATGGTCTGGTCCCGAAAGGTGCCCAGGTCCACGAACCGCGGGTCCACGAACTTGTTGAGGGCCTCCACCACGACAGTGTGCACTTTTTTTGACTCGTAGTCAAGAGGCTGGGATGAGGGAAGAGGGTAAGCCACAGCCAGCCCAAGGAGCCCCCGTGCTGCCCCTTCCTTCACCAGAGAGATTGGGGCAGCACTACAGCCACTAAAGCCTCCATCTTCCAGGCAGTGCCTCTATAGCAGCCTGGGGGCTTCTGCTTTGCCCTCCGGCCAGCAGCACCCACACCAAGGGGGCAGAGGAAGCAGAAGCCTCCAGCCCACTCCCTTCAGGGCCTCCAACAGGGTGCCCAGGCTGTGAGCAGCCAGGATTCACTGGGAAGACAGCACAGTGTGTGCTGCACATGAGCGAGTTTTGATCATTAATCATCCCGCTCTTATTTCTACAGGGGAGGCAAGCTGCATACAGTGGCCTTGAAGAACAATCATTCTTTCCTGCCTGCACCAAGTATTTGCTTGATTGTTTTTGCTACCAAAAGCAGATACAGTTAAAGTGCTGCTGGTCAGGTACAGGAATTAGGTGGGCATTTTTCTCCCCTAACAGGTGCTATCAATAACAGCTGTAAGCGCTCCTCTCTGCAGCCCTATGCATGGTGTCTCCCCTGCTGCAACTGCCACCCCCAAACCACCCCGGGGGMCTCCAGCAGGCACTCTGTGCTGCTCCTTTTCAGCCTTTTCTCCCATTTTGCCATCCAGGCAGAGCAGAGAAGGTCTCTCCTTGCATCAGCAGGCACAAAAAATGCAACTGCTACTGCTAGAGCAGCACTCAGAGCATTTTCTTCAACTCGAATACAACAGCAGCAGTCCCCGAAGGAAAGGGCCCTCCTAAGGACCTGTGCACTCCCTACTCAACCAACGTTTCTCACCTTCTGCACCGTGATGACAGCCTCTTGGGTATTGCTGTCCGTGGTGACTTTGAACATCTCCACCCCTTCCTCATCTTTCACTTGATAGGTCATGTCCGTGTTCTCCCCGACGTCGGAGTCCTCTGCCTTCACCCTCCCRATGGCAGTGCCCACGGGGGCCGTTTCGACAATGCTGAACTGATACATCTCTGGAGGAGAAACAGGTACAGAGTCACTGCTTCTGCCTTTGAACCACCCCCAGCCTTCACAAAYCTCCCGGGGGCACCTTGGGGCTGTGAGAGTTGCTCAAAGTCCACCGTGTCTCCAGTCCAACAGGAGAAGCAAATACACCAGTCAAAAACAAGGGCTGAGGGAAGATAATTGGGGAGCACTGACATTCCAGGTGCTGGGTGAAGAAAGGGGAGRTTTCTCTGCATGGACACTGCCCTGCAATCAGCGCTCTCTGATTCCTTGTGAAGATTCCTTTGCAATTTTTGATTTMTAGGAGATGCAGCCTAAGAACTGAGCCTCCTCCAGCTGCAGCCCCTTCCCCAGCCCGGAGCTGCCAGGCTCCACAGTTGGAGTGCACTGCACAGCCTGCTCCTCGCAGCAGGATCACCCTGCACCTTGTTTGGGGTTGGGGCCCAGATCAGACACCAGCACAAGCCACAGGCCCTGAGAAGCAAGTCAGAAAACAGTGTGATGCTGTGACAAGGCTGCTGTCCCCGAGCAATGTCACTGTCCTYGCACTGGGGCAAGCGTGTGCCCAGCTCACACAGCAGCCAGGAGGGGCCAGGCCAGCAGCCAAGTCCCTGGCCCAGAACTCAAGGGTCAGCAGCATGGCAGACCTTGCTGGCTTCCCTTGGAGAGGGCTCAGGAAAGGGCCAGCTCTGTCTCCTAGCCCGTGAGCCATGCTTGCTTGCAGGACCTGCACTGGTGCAGGGAGCTGGCACCTGCTGTGCTGCCAGGTTCAGACCCAGCCAGGAGCATGCCCTGGTGCTTTGGATTGTACCCTGCCAGCAGCYGGAGCGGGCTCAGCCTGCAGGTTCTGTCCCACCACCCACAGGGATCCAGGACACTCCTCAATGCCCACCCCACCACCAGCAGGACTTACTCTGAGGGAAGCGTGGTGGGTTGTCGTTGACATCAGTGACCACGATGGTGACAGTGGTGGATCCAGACAGGCCACCCAGCTGTCCTGCCATGTCTGTCGCACGGATCACCACCTCGTAGCGGTCCTGTGTCTCACGGTCCAGGTCTGCCACGGCTGTCCGGATCACACCTGGAAACCAGCAGGGCAGAGTGGGCACAGGCAGGTCACAGAGCCACAGATGGGGGAGGCTGGAAAGGGCCACTGGAGATTGCTTTGGAAAAGATCCAGACCTAAACGGGATCAGCTGGATCTCCCAAACTCTTTGCACAGGGCAGATGCTCCAGTATTTCACCAACCTTCATGGCCTTTCCCCAGATTCAATCTGGTATCAGCTCACAGAATCATATTTGGCAGTCAGACACAGCGTTTGCACCTCACCAGTGTGCAGTGGAAGGGACTGTCACCTCCCTTGACTGCTGGGGACACTCTCCCACTCTGGTGCTGSCAGCTGCCCCTGCTGCAGGAACACAAACAGTATCTGCTGAACCCCTTTGCAAGAGGTCACATAAGCAAAAGCCAGCTAAGGGGAGAGTAAGGCTCTAGGGAGCAGARCAAGCCCAGGGGTTGTCAGCCAGGCAGAAACACTCCAAAAATCCTCCTGAAGCCCAAGAATGGCCACAGGCCCAACCCGCTCCCAGCAAGTCTCCTCATGAAGCATGAAAGAAAACTGCTGCTTCTCCCGTGGGCTACTGGCAGCTCCCACTGAGTTAAACCCTGGCACAGAGGAGGTTTGTGCTCCTCTCCAGAGACCTGGAGCTGGGTGAAAGATCTGTGGAGGTCAAAGAATTGGTGGGGGCAAGAGTCACAGGAGCGAGAGGACTCATCCTCACCCCCACCCAAACGCGGGGGCTGGGCTGGGGCCAGCCTCAAGGTCTGCTCTGTAAAAACCCAGGCTGAGTCACAAAACCCCTCTGGCACAGATCTGCACCAGCCCACTTATCCTGATCTGCTGAGCAGGAGCCAGGCTTGCCTTACAGCAGCACCTCTTACAGAACAGGAGTGTCCCCAGCCCGGGCTACACCTCCCAGGTGCCCTGGCACATCTGGGGGGGACCTGTGTGATTTGGAGAATTGGGAGGARGGCAGCACATTTCTAAAAGTCTCTCTGCACAAACCCCCTCATTCTCAAGTGTCCTTCTAAGTTAAGGAGACAAGAGGCAATAATACACATGCTCTGTGTCAGAGAATGCACTGGAGCTTAACAAAATAAATGGTATGGTAGTACTTCTTACAAAAGTAAGTCTCTTAAAAACAGTGTTTATAGGTCTCTGGTATTCATCTGGGATTGGGGAAATGACCAGGACTAAAATATAAGGGAATGTAAAACAAGAAACAAAGAGCAGTAAAAGCCTGAAACCTCTGTGAATGGCAGAAATTACCAGTCACCCACGACTTTTTCATTTAAATGGAAACAAAGTAGAGAAGAAATATTTTGAGGATGAAAGAAAGAAAGAAAGAAAGAAAGGACTCTGCCCTGACGTGCCACCAGGATCACGAAGGACTGAGTGCCTACAAGGTCATATAGCACCACTAATTCCAGTCCCACTGTACCAGCAGCACCCCATATCAGCTTAAAGCCCCCTCCAGCTCAGTTTTTTAACATTCMCACAGATTTAGACATTATTTTATGTTTTTGTAAATCCTCTCTCTTGCAGGGTTTTCTATTTAACTATCAGCTTTACCTCCTCCTACTGTGAACTGCAAATCCATCTCTGCTTTGTTTCACCGGTAATCCTGCCTTGTGCTAGGGACAATACTGGAGGAGGCTGCTGGAATGGGTCTCCAGTGAAGGGTCTGACTCAGAGGGAACAGGGAGCTCCTTTCTCACTGAGCAAACAGTAGGGAATCATCCAGTGATCTGAGCACCCTGCAATCCACTTGCTGAGTGCAGCACATGGAGCAGTGGTAGAGCATCGAAGCTCCGAGTCACCARGAGCACAGCAGAGGGGAGGGCTGGGTCCCTGCAGGTGGCAAAGAGCCAAGATATGGCTTCAGGGACAGACCCCAAGGCTTCCAGGTACSTGCATTCCACAGCCAGCAGGCTGCYRATTTCCCCGTTCAYTGTGACCTTGTGCAGCTCCMGACAAGGGCTCACACCACGGAGCCATTGGTGCTGTGGCCCAAAGGCAGTCAGAAATGCCACTGAGCTGGGAGGATGAAATTCCTCCCCCTCGCCCTTTGCATGACATTACAGGTGCAGCAGGAGCTGGCAACGCTATTCAGGAGACATTTATCACTCCTTCCTTTCTGAAACTAGCAATTATTCCAATGATTAGCATTGTTAGGATTTATTATAAAGACATAACCACCATTTCAGATCCTTGCCATTCTCCAGATCTCACGGATAGGCACAATTATCACCCAGCTTCCCTTGTCCCTCTGTCACTTCAAGGTAGCTGGACTCCCCTGCCTGCAGCCCCATGGATAAGGGAGCAGATGTTTATCCTGTGATGGGGCCCAGGGTCTCCCCTGATCCCCTCATTCATCCTGGCCCTGCTCAGAAGAAGCCATCTGACATGGAGTCCCATCCACCTTGCACAGARGGGACTCAGGAAAGGGAGGTGAGAATGGGCACCCATCCCAGCAAGGATGGCACCCTCCCAGCTGGGCACAGGAGCAGCCCTGCACAAACACCCAGGGCTCAGGGAYCAGCCCCAGCTGCTCGTGCTGACAGGCCTCTCCTGCCACTCCACTGTGAATACAAAACCGTTATTTCTGGGCAAGCACTATCTCATTGAAATTTAAGCAATTCTGTTAATTAACGGGGTCTGAAGCATTTTATAATGAAAATGATTCATGTCAGCACAATAGTGATGAATTGGGATGAGAGGGAAAAAGCTCATGCATTCACCAAGGCTGTAATGACTTAACTGAGCTGCTCGTAATGATATAGCTCATAATACGCCATGCAAGATGGGAGGAAAGTGCTCAGGCACTTCCCAGAACACCTCCAAGGTCACTCGTCCCARCGGGGAGCAAGTCCAGACCATTTGGCACATGCAGAGTGGGGCAAATGTCCCCAGCCAGCTCCTGTTATTCCAGCAGCACAAGGCAGACAAAATCTCTGCCTGTGGCAGGTGTGGAGACTGATCAAAAACTCCCTCTCATGGTGSTGTGTGTTCAGTCCCTGCAGGAAAAGTGGGGATGTGCTGCAGACAACCTGGCCTGTGTCCCAGACCTCCAGGAGCCCCAGCAGGATTGTCACTGGGATGCCATTCCCAAATTGCCACCAGCCCAAGGGYCAGGCTGGTTTTGTCTTCCAGGCTGAGGTCCAACTCATCATTTGCTTATGGCTGTGGCGAATCAGGATCTCCACACTTGCTCCACATCCGTGTGGTACTACGGGCACTGCCTTAAACACCCACCAGCAGCAAACCCACACAGTCCCCTCTTCCAGAGCCAAGGTAGTCTCTGCTCCCAAAACCTGACCTCCAGGGACTCTGAAAACAGCCGCAAGGGACAGTGACAGACCTTCCTCAGGGCTGTGCACCAAGCACAGAAAAGTCATTGCTATCATCTCCCAAGATTCACCTTCTTTCCAGCYGGAAAAACTGACAAACTTTGTCTTTCCCAAACACTGCTAACAAAGCAAGAACAACCTCGAGCTCAGACTTGTCTCCCCCGTTCTTGTCAGTATCTGTTATAGCTGAATAATGTGGACACATGGTGGCATACCCTCTGGTACAAGGCACATGTGGCTTTCCAGCATGATCCAGATTAATCAGTATAATTACCAGGCAAGGGGACATTCACAGCATCACATAAATACCACTGAATCTGCTCCAACTGCAGACTCTCTTCGGGTGATAAAAACAAAGCAGGACAAAGCACTCAGCAGGTAACAGCCTTCCAGGAATGCCCTCACTGTGGGCTTTGCTCTGCTCTCAGGTACTCCCAGGTCAGATGTCCAMATCCTCAGAGACCATCTGGACAAAGCACCTTCCAGCTGAGGGCAGGAGGAGCAACAAATCAGAAAGTCATGGAGTAACAAATAGGGACCTATCCCCAGGAGGTTCCTGGTCCATCTACAGTCTTCAAAGGCAGGTGAGATTACCCTGGGCCATGAAGAATCAAGAATTTAGCATCTCCAGGGATGGAAATGCCTTCATCATGGTGACAAGCCGTGTCTTCCTTCCATGTGTCTTTTTACTGTGCACGCCTGAGAAGAGTTTGGGTCTGTCTTCTCTATCCCTTTCCTATTTAGCCAGATAAAACAGATTAATTTCTGCCAGCAGCCTGGTCATTTAGATCAAATCCATTTCTGCCTCAGGCCAGGAGTGGCAAGGCACCTGCCAAAGACTGCAGATTCCTAACCTGTGCCCTCACCTGCCTGCAGGGACACAGAAATACCAATAAATCTGCCAAGACACAAGTGCTGCTGGAAGGTCACATCCTGGAGGATGTCCCCTTGCCTTCAGCCCAYRCAGAAGAGGTTTYAGCCCCAAGAACCAGCACTTCAGTYRCCCTCCAGCCCCRACTCCTGTCCTTYGGCTCAGCACAATTTGGGAGGCAGAAGCTGCAGGCAGTGTGAGTGAGGTATRAGGCACAAGGGTCAGGAGGCTCATGGAGCACCTAACAAGGGCTYGTTSCAGGCTGGAATCAGCCCTGTCCACGCCAGTGCAGAGAGCCCAGAGGGAGGCACCTGCAGTGAGCTCTGACAGATGGGACAGCACACTCACCCTTCCKTTGTCCCTTCTTTTAGCAGCTAGGTCACTCATTGAACTTTAATTCCCTTGGCACATTAGTAGATACACTCTAATTTCCTCAAGATGACCAAACACTCTGGTCCCAAATCAGCTGAATTTCCTGCACCAGTCTCAGAAAAGGGCTGTTAATCTTCAGTTTTGCTCATAAGAGGAATCCCCTTAAATAAGTGTGGCTTCTCTGCAGACTCTCGTGCCCCATGCTCCGAGTCCCTTGTGCCTGTGCACGGCTCTGGTGGATAAGGGACAGGGATGGGGCACAGACCTGCACAACCCCCCTGAGCACACAGGAACACACACTGATCCATCTGTGTTTTCAGGTACCAAAGAGCATTTTTAACAAACTGGGAAGAGCAGCAGAGAAATACTGCCTTCCCCGACCACATCACACAGATCAAGAGCTCATCAACTCAGGCTGGCTCCCAGACACAGCTCCTCTCCCAGTCCAGCTTTATTGCCCCTGGACCAGGGCTGTGGTCTGCCTCCAAACACAGCAAGGCTGGCAGGTAGGGATGAAACAGCAAAGGTCTGCACACAAATAACCACCAGCTTCAYCCCAGCAGGCCAGTATCTCCACTCTTGCTTTCCCTGGCACAAAAAACTCTAAGCRCTTACCAGCTCAGTCTTTAAATCAGGACACAGGCTGTAGAACTCAGGAGCTGGTTTAAGTCATCATAAATGCCAGACTGCATTTCAAATACCCTCTGAGTCCTTGTGCCTTTTCCCTGCATTCAGCAGAGTGACAGATTTGAAGAACAACCTCTTCCTTATGGTAAAAAGCCAGGTTCCCATGCACTGCCCCAAACTGACAAGCTGGCTTTTCAGGAAAGCACCAAACATCACAAAACCCACGGTGTTATGTGCTGTGGCTGCTCTGYAGCACTCAATATCCCTGCAAAGGGATGAACAAGATTGCTGGAAACAGGGCCACCAGGTTGTGGGGTGTTGGGCATTTTCAGGTTCTCTCCCAAGGAAGGCTGCGTGCAAGGGATCACGGGCAGCAGTGATTCTCCAGGGATGCCSAGGGATAAGAAAGGGCTCTGCAAAGGACATGGGAACAGACAGGAGCAGGCACAGCTGCCTGCCAAAAGAGAGATCTGCCCCATAAATGTGAGTAATCTGCAGTGGCAGAGAGAATGCAGGGTGATATGAAGCAGGATGAAAACACAGCCTGCAGATTTAAGTGCACAGATTTCTCCTCTCACATAAAAGACTGAGAGTGCTCACACTCAGGTGCTCATCTCCACATCTGAAAAGTGTAAGCTTGAAAGATGTTGGTGAGGATGAGATTCTTGGAGCTGGAAATGGAGCTGCCACCCTGTGTCGTTCYGAGCAGAGCTGGGCTCTGCTGTCAGATTAGTGCTCTCACCTAGGGCCAACACCCAGCAGAGCAGCAAGAGAAGCTGTTTCCTACTGGAAGTAGCAGGGCAGAGCCATGTGCTGGTGGTCACTGTGAGAGCACAGCCTCCTCAGCAGATCAGGGCAGCCACAGCACGGGCACTGCAGCTCACCTGCTGCAAGGAGCAAAGATTGGCTGCACCCCATCTGGGTGAGGAAGGCAGCACAAAGCTTACAAAGCTTAATGCCTGCAGGCTCTTGCAACAAGCCACGGGGATATTCTTATAGCTGGCAGGAAAATCTTGCCTCCAAAGCCTGTGCAGACAAAGCCCCCCACTCACACCAAAAAAGACCTTCAGCACACACAGGGGAAGTCCTTGAACTGGATTTGGGGTACACAACACAAGTTTCAGTCCATGAAACTAATCTCAAAGCATGAGAGTGGCTGGTGGATGTGAAAAAAAGAAAAGCTCATGTGCATCAGCTGTGCTTTCTCTTCACCATCATTCAATACTGGAATCTTCCTACAGCATAAATGCCACACTGCTGCTCCCACTATTCCAGTGGAGCCATTTAGGTGCTTGTCTCCCTCCAAAAAGACCCAAGACACTACAGGCATTCAGGGCTTACTGAGTGGCAGKACTTGGCAAAGCACAGCATCCAGACAGTTTGGGTCTGACTGTGAAAGGACCATTGAATGCAAAATCCCAGCTGAACACTACAGCTGGTAACATCCAAAAACAGCAGACAAAGTAAGCTACACATGCTCCATGTTCTGTACTCGAGTGTGGAAACCACACCACACTGGTGCAATGAAGGAGGGTGTGAAAAGAGCACAAGACAAGGAGGGAAGAAAGAGCTAGTGCTGGAAGGAGTCAGGGGCTGAGGTGGTGTGCAAGGCAGTACATGCACGTGTGAACCTGAAAGAAATGGCAGGGAATGAGGTCAAAACCAAAAAGGGAAATCAAATTGTTCTTCATTATCATATATTATAAGAAATGTAACATGCCAGGTTTTTATGGTTCTTTTTATGGCCATTAATAACAATGGTGGCTCTGAGAGCTACGCTGCTGCTATGGATAATTAAATCTTATGCTCAGGGCAGAAGCTGGGCCACCCCGGGCAATCAGACCTGGATTCCCCTGTGCAGMATAAAGACTTATCCTAACAGAATAAGAGTGGGAGCGGGTTGGGGTGTGCTTGGATGGACATGATGACACCATGTACACCTGCAGCACTGCTACATTCACATGGGCCAAAGGGCCACAAGACCACAGGACAGGCTGCAGCACAACCTGAGTGGCTGATGGGCAGATCTGCAGCCCTGGTGACGCAGCTGCCACAGACCATTTGCAGCTCAAACATCGCCACAGTCAGCCCCAACACCTGTGTTAGCAGCCAGATATCCTGGAAATAAACGTGCTCRAGAGGGGCTGGAGCCTTCTGCAGACTGTCAGCAGTTTTGCCTTTATGATTCACAAGCAAGTAAAACAGTAAATCAACCCCCCAGTGTACGAAACAGCCAGCTTGAGAATTAAGACACAAAAAGTCAAGGAATCAAGAAGCTTGGATTCCCAGAGTGACATTAATTCTCACCACAGTCCCACAGGGCACATTTTAGTTTACGCCTTAATACAGAGCATTAATGTGGCTGGAAGCTGAGCCTCTGCACGTCCTGGCTTGTGCAGTTTGCTCCCAGTGGTCTCTAGCCATTCTAGCAGCCAGACCCACTCACACAAAGCTGTCTAAGATTAACAGGATCTCACGTGCTCCGGAATTTTCAGTGTTTAGCCTATTGTTCCTACACACACAATAAAAAACAAAGCAAATCTGAGAAAGAAGAGAGCCCATTTGCAGCAGCTCCTGAGCCAGGAGTGAGTACAGCCCCAACGTGCTGCGTGTGCCCTCTCCCCACTGCACCAACCTCTGTCCAGACAAAGGCATTTCCCACCACACACCACAGTGCTGCTGTCAGGTGTGTGTAGGAGCTCCCAAACTCCCAAATCTGAGCCTTCCTCCAGCAGCAGCCAGGCTGGTGGCAGTGCCAGGGCTGGGACCAGCTTCCCCACATGCACAACAGCATTGTCAGGAGGTGAAGGGTTTCTTGCAGATGCASAGGCTCAGGCACTCAGACCTTCTTTACACCCTCCTTACACCAGTCTCCAAACGAATTTCACTCTGACTTACACAAAACAGTCTTAGAAAATATCTGTCAGCACAGATAAASATCAGCCTGACAGAGATTTGGTATTTCATCCCAGGGGTTGATCTCAGTCCATGCCACTGTGTTTCAGCAATAGGGTGGGGAGGACTTTGCTGTCCAGTTTTCCAATACAAGCTGCAGCTCCTCAGCCTGCRTGTCCTTTGACAAATTTTCATTAAACTATGGGCACTTTACCGCATGCTTTGTGCCTTAAATATCTCTTATTAGCATTTGAGTGTCTTCCCTCCTTAGCAAGCTTGTGAGGCTCCCATTAAGGGTAATGAGAGTCAAACTCCTGGGAGGCAAGGAGAATATATACCCCAACATCTTCTGGTTATGGTCTACTCTAACCAGTATGTCAGAGCATCATCTGCCAGGGATTTATTACAGAGGCATTTTACAACAGGCTCCATTATAAGTTATTAAGGAATGGAGCAGCTTCTACTGTTCTTTCATTAAATATTAATAGAACATTTATAAACCTATCCTTAATTTAAAGTGTTACCTTTAATCAAAGCCCTGGTGATAACGATGCAGCCTTTGGTAAAGCCCCTTTGGTAGTATTTAAACCTTCCACACTGAAGTTTTATGTGCCTGTGGGGGCATTCCTGCTGCAGGCAGAGAGGAGCTCTGGCCAGTGCAGGTGCAGACCAGGCACTCTGGGCTGGCAGCTGCAGGTCCTGCCTGCTGCAGAGGGCATGGAGATGGACAGAAGCCTGGGCAGGGCTGCTGAGCTTCCTCTCCAACACCCCTGCCATGAGGATCCAGCATCAGTGGATCCTGTCCATGCCCAGGACACACTGCCRTGGTCCTGCCCAGCCCAGCTGGGTGCTGCTCACCTGTTTTACTGTCCACGGTGAAGTGCTGCTCTCCCTCCAGCACACTGTAGACAACCCGGGCACTGCTCCCATAGGTGGGGTCATCGGCATCAGAGGCCATCACCTGCATCACAGAGGTGCCTGCAGCAGGGACAARGAGGAAAACAAAGTCAGGGAGGAGTTGAGAAGAGCAACACAGACCTGAGAGCAGGGCCCAACATCAACAGCTTGCGAACTGAGGGAAACAAGAACAGCTGGGTGCAAATGCAGCATCACGTCTCCCCAAAAGCCTGAGAGCCTGGACTCCACACATCGCTGCAAATGCCTCTTGTGCCATAGAGTGGCAGGAGGGACAGGATTCTGGGAGCTTTTCTCCCAGGAGMCTTCTACTGGACCATCTGGGAAGGGGCTGGAGATGTCACAGTCACACCCTGCTCTCCCTGTCAGCACAGAGCAACACGGACAACTCCAGACCACAGAGGGGTCACCCTGCTAGGACCTGATCCACACTGCAGCAGCACTGCAGCAGGCAGACATGCACAGGGACAACAGCCACAGGAAAGGAATGGCTTTCACTTGCCCACAGCCAGACGTAGCACCAGGTCCTCATGCTCTACACGTAGCAGGGCAGGAGGACTATAAATTGGATAAAAGTCCATCAAATGTCTGCAATTAAGTTATTGATTTTCAAGGCTGCCTCATTAAACTGGGTACTTCACTCCAACTGTCCCTGTGATGGCTTTAATTTGACATCATGTTCAATTTAACAAAAGCAGGACCCAGGACATGAGGATGGGGGCAGGAGCAAAGGGGCTGAGATCCACAGAGACAACAGAAGGGAGGAAGGAAGGAAGGGAAGCCTAACCCTACCTAGAGACMCCTTGAGAAAGGAGGTGCTGTGTCCTCACCAAAGTGAGGCCAGGCTACCCTGTTTCATTTCTAGCACCAGACTCAGTGCCCCCTGCCCAGAGGCCAAGCACTAACACCAGTCAGTCAGAAGCAGCCTCTGCTSCTCCATCACAGCAGGCAGGTATGGAGCTGAAACCATTCAGAGGAGRATGAGGAGCTCTGGTGCCTTCCTTCTCCCTTGTCAGGAGAGCAGAAGCCCAGAGGCTGCAGGMGAGGCAGGGAGCTCCTGCACCAGCCCTGCCTGAGATGAAGCAGTGCAGACAGCAGTGCTGCCGTGAGCAGCTGGGATGCACACACTCCCCCAGTCCAGTTCACTCTGATCTCCTGGAAAGGGTGCTCACTGAGGGAAACGAGCAGTTACCATGGTTGCTTTTCATTCTCCCTGGCAGCCTTCTCAGGGCTGCAGCTCTGCTGATAACAGGAGAATCCCCCTCATCGGTCTTCAGCAACAAGCTAGTTCGAGTCAACTTATTTATGCTCTGCTGTCTCCAGTGAAGTTATGGTGCATCCCTGCCAGGCACGTCCAGATTTTACACCACGGCAACACTGGCTCTCTGCCTCACAAACAACTGTTTAAGAAATACTATTGCTGCATTTCCTCCTCCTCTCCCTGCCCTCACACAGCCTCTTCAAGCAGGTATGAGCCAAGGCAGATCACCCCCACACCAGCACTGCACATTCCCTCGGGCAGCCTGGCATGTTCTCCTGGGAAGCTTCTGAGTAGAAAGCAAAAAAAAAGGACCAGAGAAGGGAAATGGCACCAGGGTCTCTGAGCATCCCTCTCCCAGGTGCACCAGAAAAGCCTGCTAGGGATGCTGGAGGTGCCAAGGTCTGAGACCCCAAAAAGCAGCACCTGCCCCTGGGAACAGAGAGGGCTCCCTCTGCACTGCCTGGCAGCAATCAACAGAGAGCCCACGTGTGGTGTCCACAGCAGCACCCACTCCTGCACCTGCTCCACAGGCAGAGCCTGCTGACTGTACACAAACATCCCACGCTCCAAGAGACACTCGATCCTGCCCAGGGTTGGGAATCAAAACTCACCCACAGGTGATTTCACTGCATTCACCCTCTATACATCACACCCTGCATCAGAACTGCTCACATGCTCACAGAGCAGGTGCCCCAAGGACCACACCACAGCCTCCTATTCCAGCTATCTTCRAGCAGTTATCCCACAGAAGCCAATCCAGGGATCATTAGAGGCAGGCTRGCCACTCAAAGTTTGCACCAGACTGCATCATATGCTGCTTCCCCCCAGGTGCATTCACTCAAATGCACAATTCATCTCCTAATCCATCCCTATCGGACACAGATGTACTCCCTGTGCTCCAATATTTAYCTGAACGCTGCAAAACTGCAGCAGTGTCAGATGCTGAAGAGGACRCAGGACCTGTGCCCACCCTGAGCAGGGTTTGTGTCACCACTCGGACACACCTTGGACAGGCCAGGTAGGCTGCTGCTCTCAGGCTTCYTGTGCCAGCACAGAAGGCTCCTGGCCCACAGCTGCTGGGCACTCCCAGGAAATGGAGTAACAGGGCAGCAGATCCACCTGAGCCCCGTGTTTGGGACCAGAACTTTCCGCTCTAGGGCAAGGGAAACCAAGAAGCATGAAGAGTATTGCAGCAAGGCATCTCCACTCAGAGGCAGAGGATGGGGCACACTGCCCTTGGGCTGCAGTGCCAGAGGTGATGAAGGCCCTGCCCTTCCCCATCTGCCCTCACAACATCTCATCAATCAAAGAGCACCATCGAGCAGGTAGGGAACTGACCCCACTCTGTGCCTTGACTTCTCATCTGTGAAGGTGCACTGCAGCCTGCTCAAGGTCGCCTAAAGGGTATCAGGAATCCATAAGTTCAACTTTTCAGCATCCTCCCCTGACCCCCACTTATCCCTTTTCCACCCTTCTGTCCCACTCTCTTTCCATGTGAAGAGCAATGGTGTTCAATTTCAGCTTGACCTGGTCCCCTCCTTYCTGCAGAGACAAGCTTTCCCTGGCTCCCACCCTGCTCCAATATTAGTCCCTGCTCTCCAAGCACAGCACTGCCCACAGCAAGTACAGATTGTACAGATTTTATTTAGTTTTCTGGCACATGCCTTAGCCATAAAAGATACACTAAATAAAATCCAAACATCCATCATGTACTCTATCACCCGCCTCCCATAACCAAGAAGCCCGAGCCCGTATCCAAAGAGATAATTAGACATGTAAAACGAGATAAGACCTTGGTTCCTCCCCCRACCAGCTCACTTCACAGATCCAGAGGAAACCAACAATTTTACATAAAAATTAGCAGGTCAGAAYGCATCTCTTATTCTCCCTGTGAAATGGTGTGATCTGGCACAGCAGATGAAACAAACTCTGCTTCCTCTCAGAAGAAAGAGAGAGCAAGATCCTCAGTCCCAGAGCAATCCTTCCCCCAGCCCAGCTGAGTCTGGCTTCCAGCCATCCTCCARCCCCATGGGCCCTGCCTGGGCTGTCCCCATTCCACACCCTGAGCCATCCTGGACACCTGCCAGGGACAGCAGCCAGYCCTCAGCTCCGCCAGCAGCATCCCTTCTCTGCTGAGAGCCGGGGTCAGCAGGGCACAGAGGGGCTGCCCACACTGAGTGATGCCCCAAGAGCTGCGGGATGCAGGARCTGTGTCTCTGCAGGGTCCTGTCCCATGAGCGCAGAGCTCAGCCCCCACAGTGTGTCCCCTGAGTGTCCCCAGGGCTGGCAGGGCACAGCAGCTCAGCCCAGTGCCCT